GTATTGAATAGACTAGAGCAATGTGAACATTCTTCAAAATATGTCCTTTTTTGTTCAATGGAAGGAATAATAACATATGGGTTAGCACTGTCAAAAGGGTTCAGTGCAACTAAAAATGGATTATCTCACATGATATTTGTGTGTATATATACTTTCAATTCAACATGTCAGCTAAACCAATTGTAGGAGTTTTGGATCACTTGTTCGGTTAGAGAACAATCATAATATATGCAAATTTCCTTTGCATCACAAATGAATGAAAGAAGAACTTCTTTTGTAACTTTACAAAAGAATGAAAGGAAGAACGAACAGACAAACAATGAATAAGTGGGCGAGAGAAAGAATGCACAGAAAAAAAGAAACAAGAATTAATGAGCATTCAAAAAGAAAACAAGCAAAAAAAAAACAATTGGAAAAATGAATGCACTAAAGATTTAAAAAAGAAAGAAAGAAAGAAAGCATGACGTCACTAGGTAAATTTTACACATTTCGTATCCTTCAGACTGTTTTTTTTTCCCAACGAGGTTCGTGAAGTGCTTTGCTACAGCAACATTATTTTGTTTAGCTTTAATTTGAACGTCTTTCGATAAAGACAGCAACATATACTGTAATACACTAAAGGCCTGAAAACGAAGGCTTGATTATGATGTCATAATGCCCACAGGCAGGGCCATAAACACCAACAATCCCAACATTAATGGGTTTCAGACATTTCGTCCACCCTAGTCTTCAATATTTGGCCATATCCTGCTGAATGACACTTATTGATTTGAGCTCAGGTGAGATATAATTTTGATGTTTAGCTCTGATGATCCAAAAATACAAATACATTACAAAATATGAAAATACAGTGAAGTGAAATGAATGAGAGGAAAGTAAAGGGAAGAACTGAGAACAGCTGAATGAAAAAGACAAAGACAAAAGAGAGTGAACAGATGTTTGGCCTGAACTTCAAAGCTGAAATTTTCACCACACATTCCCTCCATCCACACCAGCAAGAAGGAGAAAAAACACCAGACAAGCAAAAATACATGAGCCTTTCACTTTCTTATTTTGGAGCTGAAGTAGCAAACAAAAATGAAAACATGAAGAAAAAAAAATTTATGAAAACTTTCCTATATTACTGTATATAAGTGAATGTTGTTGTAGATGAGTTACACAGAGAGAGAGAGAGAGAGAGAGGGCAGAATGCTTAAAATAGGTCCAGAAGTGAAAGGGGGGGGAAATCCAAATGGAACACATTGCTTTTATTAAGTTCACACTCTGGCCTGCAATCATTCTTGACAGAAGAGAGAGAGAAAGAAATCACTCGTTCACTTTGAACTACAGCAGCCAAACACTGGCCCCTAAAAAATATTTTTATTTTAATATTATTTACTTTACAAAATGATTAACTTTACAATTACCTTATGAAATAATTTTTAAGAAAATAGCAAAGACATCTGTAATGTTATGAAAGATTTCTATTTTTTTTAAAAATAAGTTGTCTGTTTGAGGCTTCTAAATACACTTACTGAATTCTGCTTCGCCATCACAGGAATAAATTACAACAGTTATTTTAAATTGCAATCATATTTCACATAATCATAATATTTATTTGATCAATATTTCAAATAAATGCAGACTCAATGAGTATAAGAGACTTTTTTCAAAAGCACTACAAAAATGTTACTGAACCTAAACTTTTGAATAGTAGTGTAGATTAGAGTGTTATAATCACTTCCATTATGATTAGGAACAGCAGTAGACAGCAAGGCAAAAAAAAAAAAAAAAAAAAAAACCGGTTTTATAGCAGAGCATTTATCTTTCACTCATAACAAAATGCTTTTATTTGACATACACATTTGGATTAATTAACTAAAAACTCCAACAATGTTTTGGACCCCATTGACTTTCATTATATGGAAAAACTTCTTAAAACATCTTTTGTGTTATGCAGAAGACAAGAGGAAGAAGAATACATGTTAAAGGGTGAGTAAATTACCATTTTTATTTTTGGGTGAACTATCCCTTTAAGGTTGAACGGCTGGATACTGATATAATAAATAAATAAATAATAAATAAATGTATTGATCAGTCAATTTTCAAAATGTTTAAAGCTATTTCAGCTCTGTGACCTACTTACTATTAAGACTATTATCTCAATTACCTTAATCAATTAAACAATAGAGACCCCTGAGAGGTGTAGCACCAGGTTTATAAAGATCCTTTCAGACGCCCTCAGAGCTACATGCAAGTTTGAAGCCTTTGGTCCAGGTTCAGCGTGGCTCTCGACGGACCGGATCTCCAATGGGAGCGAGGCCAAGACAAACTAGTCTACCCGAGACCGTGAGCAGCTCTCTATTGATTCTGTTTCAGTAAGCGGGGTTACCGGCTGAATGAATGGACCCTGGGGAGAGAGAGTCAAGAGAATGGGAGGGAACCTCACAATATTGATGGCACAGAGCAATTTTCATAGTAGAGCATTGTTCAGGAAGCACAGCAGCCTTGGGAAAAACCAAGAGTTTTAAAAAATTAAACACTTTTTAATTTTACACGCTCAAATACTGACTGGAACAAGGAATGTTTCTTTAGAATAATCACTAATAACTTACAAAATGTAAGAATTTATACAATGTTTGAGGTCAGTATGTTTATGAATGCTTATTATGCTTATCCAAGGCTACATTTATTTGATCAAAAGTACAGTAAAACCTCGTCTTGTCATGTGTTTAAATAGTGTTCCCGGTTGTTAGTTCAGGGTCCGGTATTGTTCATGTCTACCTGTGTTACGTGAGTTTCCCGTGTTTCCTTGTTATAATTAAATCTCTTTGGACTGATGTACTCCTCGTCTCCCTCTGTTCCTTGCTCCTCACTCCACTCAGTAGTGCAACCGTGACAACAGTATTATTACAATTTAAATTAACTGTTTTCTATTTGAATATACTTTAAAAATTGTATTTATTCCAATTTGATGGTAAAGCTGAATTTTTTGCATCCATTACTCCAGTCACGAGATCCCTCAAAAATCACTCTGATATGATTTGGTGCTAGAGAAACATTTGTTATTATCAGTTTGGAAAACAGTTGTGCTGCTTAATATTTTTAGGGAAACTGTGATATTTTTGAACTGATTCTTTCATGATTAGAAAGTTCTTGAGAACAGAACTTCTGTAACATTATAAATGATTTTACTGAAACTTTTGATCAGTAAAATGCATTATTGCTAAATAAAAGTAAAAAAAATTATAATAAAATAAAAACATCTTACTGACCCTAAACTGTTTAACAGTAATTCATAAATAAAAATTTGGTGACCATATCATAACCATTGGAACTATTGAAACTAGCATCAAAACTAGCATCAAAATGTCTAACATCGCAACTCCAGAAAATATCAGGACATTTTTGCAATTCAAAGAGAATACTACTTCAGTGCAAGGCTGTATTAACCAACTTTACATTGTACATTACAATGTTTTGAGGCCTGATTTCACTTGTAATATTTTTGTAGGAGTAAAAATTCGAAATGAGAGCAACGTCTTGTTTTTTAAGACGATTATTCACAGTAGCTTCAAAAAAGAATCATTAAAGTACTGTAAAAATAGAAAATACAGCTACATTCCATGTCTTCTAAAACCATACAATAGCTTTGTGTGAAAAACACACCAAAATGTAACTTGCCATGTCGAAAATGTGGCATGCCAGGTTTAAAATCAATGGTAGTAAATGCCATTGACATACAATACAACCTATTCCACAAATAACTATCAAATTTATTTGGAGAATTTGTTAAAAAGCGTCCTTGTTCCATGGAGGAGTAGCATAAAATAATGAGAAAAACAGCGCGCTGACCTATAAACTCTTGATTGCTTTGACTGTTATCTATATTACAGACATTCAACAAAAACTTCTAAATGCATTCTGCTGGTATTGGTTTGAGACGCGTGACTCTGTAACCGCTCTGTAAGACTCTGAGGCCCTGCAGGATACATTAGCCTATTATGGAACTAAGGACAAGAGGGATTTTTCCATCGTTCCCTCTCCATTGTTCCCCATGTGCTCTCTGTGTCCCAGTGTTTATGCCCATATTTGGTTAGTTTCCGGTTCCTGTCCTGATTATGTTGATTTAATTCCAGGTGTTCCCCATTTATTTCCATTGATCCCAGGTGTGTCTCGTCATCCCCTCGTCTTGTCATGTGTTTAAATAGTGTTCCCGGTTGTTACTTCAGGGTCCGGTATTGTTCATGTCTAGCTGTGTTACGTGAGTTTCCCGTGTTTCCTTGTTATAATTAAATCGAAAATATCAGGACATTTTTGCAATTCAAAGAGAATACTACTTCAGTGCAAGGCTGTATTAACCAACTTTACATTGTACATTACAATGTTTTGAGGCCTGATTTCACTTGTAATATTTTTGTAGGAGTAAAAATTCGAAATGAGAGCAACGTCTTGTTTTTTAAGACGATCAATGTCCGAACTGTCCTGAGCGCATTCGCGTCTTCTTCTTCAGCCGGCGCATGACGCGTCTTCTTCTTCAGCCGGCGCATGACGCGTCTTCTCCTTCTTCTTGCTTTACGGCAGATTGCAGACTTATAAGTGCATTACCACCACCTATCTCTCAAATGGACCATTGACACTCTATCTACAATCTCAATTAGGAGTGTCAATGGTCCTTAGACGCGTCACGCGCCGGCTGAAGAAGAAGACGCGAATGCGCTCAGGACAGTTTGGACATTGCGTGAATCAGAGGTAAAAAACGATATAAATACTATTCAGTTTCTTGCACAGACCGATCGTTTCGTGTCTTTACACATCAATCTATCGTCACAAGCCGCAGGGTTTAATTTGGTTTTGTTTGTGTATGTTTGTTGACTGGGTGAACTATCCCTTTAAACAAATAAACTAGTGATCTACAGTAAAAAGAAAGGCCAGTCACACCATGAATGATAACTTTAATGATAACTATAAGGTTTTAAAAAATAATAGTGGAATCACTTTCAGAATCACCTTTTTTCCAGCTGATGAACAGTGTTGGGGAAAGTTACTTTTAAAAGTAATGTATTATGATATTGCATTACTCCAAAAAGGGAAGTAAATTGCATTAGTTACTTTTTATGGAAATTAATGCATTATGTTACTATTGCGTTACTTTTTGTCACCTGGGCTGGGTTTGCTTATTTGTTTTATAATAAGATTAGATAATTAGATTCATATTTTTAGATTTTTAAAGGCTCTTTCACACCAAAAGGAATTGCCTCAGCCTCAGTCGCAACACAATCCCAATCCCAAGTGTCACATAGGCTCACTGCTGTCCAGTCCTGCCGGCGAAGGGAAGAAACAGGCTGTCAGCCACCGTCCCGCCATTCCCGCACTTCCCCCGCCAACCCTGCCCTGCCAGCGACCTCCGGCTTGACCCCTGTACACCGCCATCCGCACTCCTCAGCCTAGCGCAAATCAAACTCTTGCTGACTGTGCATGCTCCGCAATGACGGGCCATTTAGACGAACCTTCGCCCTCGCTGGACACGCATTTGACTGGGGGGAAAAGACGATTACAAAAAAGCAAGGCGAGGTAGACTTCCTTCAGGGACTCGAGAGCTCGATAGGGTCGTGGTGATGCTGGGTCTCCATAATACAGTGAAGTTTTTTGGGAGGAAACAGGGAGGAATGTAAGGAAGGGAAAAGAGGCTGGGAGAGAGCTGTTTACGGTAGGGGACGTGACTCGCAAGTGGAGGGATAGAAAGTTTTTCTTCAACAGACGAGCAAGAACAGGCCTCCCTCATTCTCTCTCTCTCTCCGTCCCTCCTCCCATCTGGCTGAAACGGGGAGAGAAAAAAACGCCAATCAGGATAGACTGCTCTCCAAGCCTTAAATAGAAACATATGAGTGGGCAGAGTAAAGAGAGAGGAGCTGTGTTTATGTGAAACGCAAAGAGAAAGCATTTCAGCTAGGTTTAAGCCACGCTCTCTTTCTGTATACGTCTCTCTCTTTCTTTTTGTATTTCCTATGACAATCTCTTTAACCTGTTCCTCTTCATCATTCAGCCAAAAAAGAAAATTCTGTAATTATTTACTCAGCCTTATGTTGTCCTAAACCTGTATGACTTACTTTATTTTCTAAAACTTACGGTAGGATTTCCATAATTCTAGTGTGTAAGAATCTATTTCAAATAAATTCTGTTCTTTTGAACATTCTATTCATCAAAGAATCTTGGAAAAAATATGTATCATGGTTTCCACAATAGTATTAAGCAACTATTTTCAACATTGATAGGAATGTTTCTTGAGCAACAAATCAGCATATTACAATTATTTCTGAAGGATCATGTGACACTGAAGATTGCTGTTGAATATTAAGCTTTGTCATTGCAGGAATAAATCACACTTTTATATATTCAATTAGAAAATAGTTATTTTAAATTGTAATAATATCTCACAATATTTCTTTTTTTTAACTCTTTTTTTATTCTTTTTACTCTTTTTTTTATTATTAAATAAATGCAGATTTGGTGAGAATAAAAGCTGAATTTACACTGCACCGATGGATGCAGACCAATGACAACAGTCACCGGATTAAAGTACGTTGCTTCTCAGACATTACAAACCCCCCGCAAAAAAAAATTATGATTCAACATGTTCAATCAGCAAAAACAAGTGACAACCAACACCAATATACTACAACAGGGTTTAAAAAACATTGATTCGACAAAACGGACAAACATGTCTGTTGCTGTTTGTCTGCATCTGTCAGTGCCTTAAGAGACTTCTTTCAAATAAATTACAAAAATCTAACTGACTCCAGACTTTTCAGTTTTTGTAGTGTATTTTTCATTGAATATCCTGTTTAACTCAGAAATATATCATATTACGGCAATAAAATAGACTGAACATGCTGTTTAATGTTGTTTTTAAACAAAAATATCCAAAGTATAACACATCAAATGTTTCTGGCTCATGCATTCCAAGACTTTCTGCATATAGTTGCTAAAACTTCAAACGCTCTATTTGTATTTCTGAGAACTATTTTTGTAGTTTCGTTATATGTGCTTGAACTTCAAACTCTGTGTGGTTGCCTTCTCTCTGTTTTTCTCATGGTGTGGTCTTCTGGAAACTGGAGGCTTTTAATAGGAAATGTTTCAAATGTTCTTACAGAAACATGAAATGTATCATATTTTTTACACTTGCTGTACCTCATGCAAGCACACATAAACACTTACTATGGTGTTAACGTCTTTTTTGGACACAAACATGGTAATTCATGGTATACCATGGTATATGAATATACTATGATATTGGCATTTGATGTTTAATGTACCATAAAGTTTGCTCATTCATAAAGCAATTAATTCATATTATTGAACCAAATCATGACTTTTTGTACCAACCAAATCTAACATAAAATCAGGTCTTGTATTCAGTCAACGTCAAGCTGTCATGTGTTGCTAGCGCAATGTGTTTTAACACTATGAGCTTTTAAATCAGGATTACTGGGGAATCCTTTGAGTGCAGATGCTCAGTGCTGTGAGGAGAGAGAGCGCAGTAGTTCTGTATCTTGTCACTATCACCATCGGCATGGAACAAACTAATTAGCGATGCCTCACACTTCATGGCGCCATGCCATGCTAACATGAAAGCATACTGTATTGCTCAACTGAATGCTTGCAGCTGTGCTGAAGCGAACTGTGAAATATATTTCTGACATTTTAACGCTGTTTGTGCCAATCGCAGAAATATTTCACTTCAATCTGACAGTCACCACAACACCACAAAGAACAAAGTGCTCATTCCAAACTTTCCATTAGCATCCGTTTACTGTTAGCTTACCCCTGCGGAAAAATCCATCATAACCCGGTAGCTGTGGTTTCTTGCTGCTCTAAACTGGACATTAGCTAGTCCATGATGGTGATTAGCTTGGACTAGCAATAAACAAGCTACATTAGCTGGAACATGGAAGGTCGACCAGCCACAAAAACCTGATTTGACTAGCTAATGACCAGCTGGGACAAGTTAGAAACCACCTTTCTTAAGCCGGATTATGAAATGTTTTTAGAAAGCATGTGCACAAGCAAATGAGTTATATAATCAGTCTGTTTTCTTTATTTTGCAGTAAATTGACCAATTATGTAGGGTGCGTGCGACGATCATGGTGAAAACACGCTCCACATGGGCTATAGTTCTGTGAGCGTCAGCATTTATTTCCGAAAACAGAGCGCATTCTTTTCTGAAATGTTTATTTGCAGGCCGTCGTCCGTAAGACTTCCCAGGAGAGCACCGAGGAGAGACCACAATCTCTCATGTCATGTTTTACATCCTCCGTTTTCACACTGAATGTCTTCCTCTTCGCTGCTGGCCTTACAACACCTAAATATTTCGTCTTCCAGGATAAACTTTATAAGCCACAAGTAAACCTGCAGACCTATGAGATCTTGCTCTTAAAAATAAATGTTCAGTTAAAAAAAGAGTTTTACATCCTTATGTAAATCTCTTAGGAGAACATTTTATGCCTCTTTAGCCAGTTAAATTCCCATAGTCATGCCCATATACACAACATTTGCAGCCTATTGCATGGACTTGTCCTAAATTAGTCATAGTCAATTAGTAAATTAGTCATATTTACCATTATTAATTTCAAAAGTTAAATTCTGGATTGCTTACATCAGACTCACAGTTATATCGCGATTAAAGTCGTGTATTATGTTGCATTTCCTAATAGAGTTACCAGCCAAATGGTGATTAATGGCTTTTCATGTCTTCGCCAAAGTCAGTTTTGACTCACATTTGGCACTTGATGAGTGTTCATTTTGGACCGTGGGTAAGAGCTGTTTTAGGAACCGTTCTTGTAAAAACTAGAAAATTACCACATTGAAGACTCGCAAAAGGAAAAGTGACAGACAGCGCATGCACACATATAAAGCATATCTACCTGAGGCCTCAGACTTGGTTGGACTGTCCTGAAGGCCATACATCCAAACTGAGGGCAGCGGAAAAGAGAGGAGAGGAAAAAAACAGAGGAAAAAAGGAGGATAAATGTTAGTCAGAACAGAGTGGAAAAAGACACAACAGCCAGCATTGCATGTTGTCTTCAAAGCAGCCAAAAGTAACAATTTATACGCACTGCAGTACAGCTCACTTCCTTCAAATCTGTGACTTGTGCACAGGCCATTAGCATTAGCTTTGAGATTAGCGTTATTCCAGTAAAGTTTGCTGATGATAGCAAACTTTAAATAATTTAATGCAAATAGAAATTATATGCATTATAGAAAATGAAGCCCATTTTAGGACCATAATATAATTTTGAGATGTGAATTTCTATATTTTTTTTTATTTTATATATATCTTAAAAAAATCAATTTTTTAAATATATTTACATATTTAAGTGACTTCATAATAGTGTGTTGCACTAAATTTTATTTATACTGTTTTTAATTTAAAAATATTGACAGCACAATATTGACAATATTTAAAATGTATTTTGTTTGCAAACGATGCTGGTTATTTTCTACTTTTGACATAGTATTAATTTATTTTTTAACCAAAAATGCAAGTTATTTTCTCTTTTTTTTTTCCTTTTTTTTTTTTTTTTAGGAAACTTGCTTTTTACTGCTAGACAGTATGCTCTTGATTTTTTTTTCTTTTTTTTTTCCTTTTTTTTTTTTTTTTAGGAAACTTGCTTTTTACAATAAAACTGAAATGTGACTTGTTTATAAGACGTCTTCATTTCAAGCAATGTGTGCTTTGATTTCAATTGTTCAAAATATTCAACAAATAACCATCAATATTTAGTTTCCTTAAATTATTTTAATATCACAAAGATAAGAAATGCACTCTTTCATTAGAAAAAATATCCCACCGTTAATAGCTGAGTATATTTACACTACAAACCTTTAATAAACTATGAGGGCAAAAATAATAAATAAATACATACATAAATAAATAAAATAAAATAATCGTTCATTAATTTCAAGGTAAAATGTTCAATTAATCGAGATTTAGATTTTAGGTCATATCGTCCATCCCTATATAGTGATGAGTAGGGCTGGGCAAAAAAATTTATTTTTCGATTAATCGTTTTTTTTAAATGACG